AATACAGGCTGAAAGTACGTTGAAAACTAATAATAAAATCACTCGTCTGCCAGTCGTAAATGACAGCATTAACTTGGTGCGGCGCTGAATAGGTGACTTCTTTAGGTGATCAACTAATTTATCAAACTATAAGGACCACGGAAAAGATTTGTATCAAGAAATCCCATTTTTTCCATAGTTTTCAAATATGCTATGGCAGAAGATTTCAAGTGCAGCGTTGGTAGCGAAAGACGCCCTCCAATGTAGGGAAAAACACCCCTGAACTAAACCATGAGGACCGTATAAAAATTATACATAAAAAATTCCTCTTTTTGTCACTACTTCAAAATATATATCCTGGCAGACGATATTAAGTGTAGCTTTAATAGTGGCAGACGTCTTAGAAGTTAAAAAATTTAGGTATAGTAAATCCCAGCGAGTGCTAGCGTGTGAGAGATAACCGCGCGAGAGCATAACCAACAGAGATAGCGATAGGATACTAACTACTGAGATCTTTCAAACCATTTGATTCTAAACTTCTGATTCACATAGTTCCATCCACTTCAATCAAACGGATTGTAGAAACTCAGACATTTTTCGGTGGCATTGCGATGAACTAAACCATGAGGACCATACACAAGTCATACATGCGGTAAATGCGTGGGAACCCGGTAACGCGTTACCCTGCGCGTTACACACATCAACACCCAAATTCACGAACATCTCTCGAAGATTTATGAATTTCTGCGTGTTATTGGAAAAGAGACCTACTTCCATCTATACCTTGATGGTAGCGTCAATTTTACATTTCCCAAAGCAATAACAGCAATATTCATATCGGAAGCGCTAATAATGACTTCGCTACTTGGTAGTTTACCAAGATGGTAAATTATTCGAGAATCTGCCTTTTAGTGGCTGCAGAACAATTCAGTTTTTACCACATCATCTTCTCTTGTCACAAATTTATAGCACTTATCTTCATATGTGGCAAACACAACTTTCCTTCCAAGTAAAGCACGACAGGTCTTTTTTGCCTATGAACGGTATAAGTAATCTATAAGAGAGGCTTTGAGCTATCATTGCGAAGTGGTTTTATGAAATTTGCAGGCTGCTTCTGAGTGGAATCAGAAGTTGAGTAGGATTATAATCTTTCCTTATTTTGATCCCAACGATCATGTTCTGCGTCCTTCATGGAAGGGGTAACTATCTGTCAAAAGTAAGATGTACTTCTCTCGCTGACACAGCACAAATCTTGCCGAGGATGTGTTCAGAAAATCGCTCAAAGGTTTACCGGAGATCTTTTAAAAGATGCAAAAAAAAATAATCCATCGATTAAAACAACATCTACAACTGGCGATGGACTAGGAGCACTTGAAGAAATCATACTTCCGAAAAAGTTTCAGCAAAACAAACTTGTCGATTTTAATCATCGATCCATCAATGTTGCATAGAGACAACGAAACTGGAGTCAGAGGATAGTTGAGGATAGAACGAGCTGAAGATCTATCTTCTTTTCTCTTCAAGTTTTCTGTTTCTCAGTCTGAGAAGAATTCAAGAAATACCGACAATCTTATCGCGAAATAAACAATTTATTATTTTCCCTAATTTAATTCGTTTGGTAACTCCAAGCGGTGCGTAAATATAGCTATCTCTGTTCGTTGTGCTCTCGCACGCTTATCTCACACGCTCGCACTCGCTGAGATTATACCTAAATTTTTTAACTTCTAGGACGTCTGCCACTATTAAACCTACACTTAATATCGTCTGCCAGGATATATTTTAAAGTAGTGACAAAAAGAGGAATTTTTTATGTATAATTTTTATACGGTCCTCATGTTTAGTTCAGGGGTGTTTTTCCCTACATTGGAAGGCGTCTTTCGCTACCAACGCTGCACTTGAAATCGTCTGCCATAGCATATTTGAAAACTATGGAAAAAATGGGATTTCTTGATACAAATCTTTTCCGTGACCCTTATAGTTTGTTAATTTAGTTGATCACCTAAAGAAGTCACCTATTCAGCGCCGCCCCAAGTTAATGCTGCCATTTACGACTGGCAGACGAGTGATTTTATTATTAGTTTTCAACGTACTTTCAGCCTGTATTGTCGAATTTTTTGTCGCTTATGGTTTAGTTACTATGTACGCTGCCTCCAGGTCTAATACTCTACGCAAAATAATAATCATAGCTTCATTGTATCGAAACCAGATATGCAAATATTTATTGGAATCCTTTTACTATCTGGGTATCACAAATTACCACGCGAAAAATATGATTGGAGTCTCGATGATGACTTGGGTGTAAGATTTTTTGCCAACGCAATGTGTAGAAATAGATTTCAGCAGATAAAGCAATACATTCATTTGGCCAATAATGACAATTTGGATAAGACAGATAAAATGGCCAAAGTACGCCCACTAATGAATATGTTAAATGATAAAGACCAACAGTGGGGCGTTTTCAATGAACATTTAGCCATTGATGAATCAATGGTTAGATACTTTGGCCATCATTCCGCCAAACAGTTTCTCCGTGGGAAACCCTGTCGGTTTGGGTACAAAAATTGGTTGTTGTGCAGTCACACCCGATATTGTTATTATTTCGACACTTACCGACTGTGACTCACAACAAGTTTCAAAAACCAATTCTGCCAAATATTCCAACCTTCCACTGGGATCACGAGTAGTCTTGTCTCTATTAGACATAATAGCTGTGTCTTCCGACCATGCGGTTTTTTTTGGATAATTTCTTTGAGAGTTATGGGCTACTAAAAACCCTAAAAGAACAAGGAATGGGGGCTACGACAACTCTTCGTGAAAACAGAACTGAGAAATGTCCCTTGTTAGATAAAAAAGGTTTCCCAAGAAAAGAACGGGGTTATTTGGAACTTGCTTACGATGGAAATGCAAAGCTTTTGTTTTTACGATGGATGGACAATAATGTGGTGACTATGGGAACTAATTATGATAGCATTGAACCATTAGGAAGTGTCGTTTACGTAATGTGCGACTGTGCGAGTAAACGTCGCAGTCACGGTGCATCGTGATTCTTCAAATCTTATTACTAGTCTAGAGCAATATACTTACGGCCTTCGATTTAATAACTTGTCTTATGTTCTTCTCGGGGTCCACAATTCTAGGATTGGTTGGACGTACCCTTTCCTATCCTGCTCTAGTCTTATCCATCCAGCTAATCCTCATTCCTCATTATCCTTCCACAGCACCACATCTCGAATGCTTTTATCCTACTTTTGTCGGATTTATTTAATGATGGAAGTGGTGTTTCCTGAAATATTGGAAACAACGGAGTTGATGATACCGCTGCTACTACTGGTTTACGCTAAATCTCGGGCAGTTAACCCTATTTCTTTTGATGAAGACGCAGTCATTTTTTTAAATGATAAATCTATGCAAAAGCTCACCGTGAGAATTTTAACGCGTGTTCAATTACAGAAAAAGTTTTGTAGAGTGGAAAAAGGAAGCAATGTAGTACGGTTTCTTATTAGAAGTTAGAAGTTTCTACCGTCCGAACATCCACCGAAAATTTGTACATCTTATTCATCAAGCCAGTTTCGCTTTATCAAGCAAAGTGAAGTTCAGATTCTGTCAGCGTGTCTATGAGTTAAGTACCCCTTATATCGCATATGTTGTTTTGTGGGTGGTGTAATGATCACACACCATTGCACAATGATGCTATATAATGCACTATATTACATAGTTATAACATAGCCATTGCACACAGCAATATACTCGGTAAATGGTTCCTTCACGAGAAAACGGTTTCGCTATGACTACATAGTTATCTATATCTTGCCTTTACACATTTCCAATCAGTCAATAATAACAGAACTATTTGGCAAACAAAAAAAACAAAATTAAAAATTAGTTGGCCTTTCAAAGACTTCGACTGATAATTTTTAAGATTACCTAATTGTACTTTTTTCATATGATTTTTTTTCAATAGAAGACTGTCCTGACATTGCACTTTTACTCAGAGAACACCAGGTGGTCCTTTTAAAATCAAAGCAGTGAAATTTACATTATGGCACGAGTGTAATTATGTAAATTTCGGAGAGTAATGTACATCACTACTACCTACCAAGTACGGCTACCGTAATCAATTACGGAATATTTCCATTTTAGCGGTAACCCTACTTTAAAATCGTGGTTTCCGCATACTTAGTTCGTGCGTAATTTGATGTGCTAAACTAAGTGCCGCGCCGAACCCTCTACAATATGTATTATATCGGTTTCATGGATCAATCGGGACACAACCGACGTAATGTGGTGGTATCTGTGTTAAATGTAATAAATTGCAGTTGGGCGTATCTAGAATCTGCATTGAGTTTGGATTTATAGAGTTAAATCATTAATTTCCTTTTCCACAAATTCCGTAATTTGGGAACTTCGTAGTTGCGTTCCAATTTCTAATAGTGAGTTATACTTATAATGAATAAAATTCCGCTTGTAAGGCATAGGGTAAAGTCAGGGATAGATGGCCATAGTTTTTTTTTTAGATTTGGTCTTGAATATCTCATACTTGATTATGAAAAAATGGATTAAATCTTTTCAAAAACACGTGCTAAACTGTGCTAAAAGAAAAGGAAAAAAGTTGAACAATTTTGAAAATGCAAATACATAATTGCCCATCTCAGCATAGACATTAGGTTGAGATGATCATAAGGTATTGAAATAGTTGCCCATATAGTTTCCTCGAAAGTGGAGCGCTTATGTCCTCACTTTGACGCCCGTCTGTCCGTCGTTCTGCGCTATAGTTTAGTTCCTAGACCGAGTATCGACTTCGGGGTTTCGCTATTCCACGTTGTCGCCTAAAATCCGTCAAAATCGTTATGTACCAATTTTGGTAAGCAAAATATTTTTAGATGCCAAAATCGCTACTTATCCAACCATTCTCTTGGGAAAAAGACCAAAATCAATTGCTCGATGCCCAAGAAGTGATCCATGTCTCATTCACGCTTAATTGACTAATTTACACGAACATTCCGCGCGTAAGCTCATTTTGAACCTAGTAAGTTTTGGTTGGCGTAGTAGCAAAATGCTACCGTTCGCTGTAAAGAAATCAAGTTCGAATATCGTTCAAAAGAGATTAATTCGGAAGTTGGTAAAATGCAATCCAGAACTCTTGTTTTTTGTTCAGGGAGTTCCTCATCGCATAGGTTCCTCTGAGACCATAGCGTGGAAGGGCCTACAAACCATTTAGGTCCGTTTCACCACAAACTGGAAAGTTCAGCAATTGTGTTTGCGCTATGTGACTTGATTCACCCAATAATTTAAGTGGTAGCTTGGTGCACTGCCGTCCAAGGGGTTATAATAGTCACCCGATTTGTGTGATTTAGTGATATTCACGTTATTCGGAATAAAAATAATAAACGTTAAGAGTTCTTACGCCCGTTCTCACCACATTTCCTTAACTTTTAAGAGTTACTTTAAGTGCGACTTAAAAACTAAGGGACAGATTTTTCATTGTACCAACATCTTAAGTCTTTCTTAAATGTTTAAGTGGAAGTTAAGTTTAAGCCTAAGAATTTTACTACTTAAGTTGATACTTAACCTAAAAGTTCGGTAGTTACATTCCTTGTAAACCTTCACATTTTCAAAATGGATTTATTTTTGGGAAATGATATTATTGAGGACGATTTAGACGTGTTGGAGGTACTGCAAGTAGGAGTTCCACGACAAATACGTGAAAGAAATGATCATTTTTATGGTATGGATGATCTATCATTTTTTAAAAGGTTTCGACTAACGAAACCAACAGTAATGGAAGTACTAATCCAAATAGAAAATAATTTGGAGTTCCCATATGATACGTAAGATACATCTGCAATAATTAATATCCACAATAAGTATTCTGATGTACTTTTAGAAATAATAGCATATCTCCGATGCAACAATTATTAATAGCACTTCGATACTATGCTACTGGCAACCACCTTCTCAGCATTGCTGATTTTGCAGGTGTGCATGTGTCAAGTGTATCTAGAATTGTTAAGAAGGTATCAGTAGCAATAGCTTCACTTCGGGCTAGGTACATCAAGTTACCATTTACAGCAGACGGATTGCTTGAACTTCAGCAACAGTTTTATGAAGTGGCAAGGTTTCCAAGGGTGATAGGAGCAGTTGATGGGACTCATATAAGAATAAAATCTCCCGGTTTGTTTTTTAACTCATTTTAAACAAATTTAAACACTATTTAAAACAGGTGGAGACGATGCTGAAGTATTTCGTAACCGAAAATCTTATCACTCTATTAATGTACAAGGAGTTACAGATGCTAGATTGAACTTTGTAGATATAGTAGTACGCTGGCCGGGATCAGCACATGATACAACAATTTTTAATAGTAGTAGACTGAAGGCAAGGTTTGAAAATGGAAGTTATCCAAATTGTCTGCTTCTGGGTAAGCATACTTGCTTTATTATGAATACCTTTTTATCAATTACCTATTTTGTAGGTGACAGTGGTTACCCAGTAAAGTCATACTTACTTACGCCACTTTTACATCCTAATGGACAACAAGAGCAACTATATAATGAATCCTATATTCGAACACGAGGGGTAGTTGAAAAACTATTTGGTGTGTGGAAACGTAGGTTTCCTGTGAATGCTTACGGCTGTCGTTTAAAGTTAGACACCACATTGATAGTTATAGTTGCAACAGCAATACTGCATAATGTGGCACAAGAGATGGGGGAGGATGAAATTCCACCAGTAGAAGGAAATCCCCATGAATTAAATGTCTTGATAGAAGAAGGGAACATTCCGGTTGTTCCTGCAGATATAAATCATGTTGGAGGAAATAATGTTCGTTTGAATTTTATAAATGATTATTTTGGAAGATTATAATTACAATAAGAACATAAATACATTGTAAAATGGCATAAATGATAGGTACATAAAATAATACTTTTTCTGTTTTTAATTAAATAAAGTTTATTCTTTAATTTCTTTTAATTTTTCAATTTGTAATTTTTTAAGCTCTATGTTGAGTCGTAGCTCCTCCTGTCGCAGCTGGCTCTCTAGGTTTTTGGCCTCCCTCTCTTCTTTAATTATCTCTAATTGGATGGTTAACATTTCATGTTTGAGTTTAGCCACTTCACTATATGTTTTTGTTAAGTCTGTCGAGTGAAGGGATTGACCCACTGGTCGGCGCCTGGATGTCCATTTTTTTTATTAGTATTTCCACTTGTTTGCAAGGCTTTATTTACCGGCGTTTTTAAGTGGGCCACCTTGTAATCGCCCCAATCAACATCCTACAACCAGAAATCAAAATATCTGTAACTATGCAAAATAAAACCTACACACCTCTTCAGCCTCTGGGGCCATTTCAGATGCCGATGTTGATGGAGCCTCCAGGTTAGATACTGGCAATGCTTCGTGGGACATGGTTGTAGAAATTGCTATATCCTCTGGCAAACATTCCATAACCATGTCGCAGTCAAAGGTATTATGGATACCTACGACAGTCTTCGGATTGACGATTGATAAAATTAAGTCTTCGTTTTTATCGTCGACAATTGTATTAGGTGTACCACCCCCAGTTTTAATATACTCTAACCGTTCATGGGCCACATTTTTACGAACAGTTTTTTTTGCGTTTTCATAACATTTTTTAAGTGATGTCACATTTCTACAACAGAAATTGTAAGTGTTTTTGTAAGTGCATTGCATAGTGTCACATTTTACCTGTACACACCGCCTGGGGATTGAGCATTAAATTTACAGGAAATCTTTTCCCATGTGGCCTCCTTTTCCTTCCACGTGACGGCGTTGGTTTTTTTGCATTCAATTATCCCTTTATAATCACATATAATGCTAAACAGCACATTTTTCTCATCTGTTGAGTAATTGGCAGTTCTCTGTTTTTTTGTCGGTGGAGGAGAACCACGGGCTTCCATCGCTGAAATTTAAGAAAAATCATTTTTCCAACACGATGCAGCAATTAGAGTGATTGTTGATACTTACCAGACTTGATTAAAATTTAAAATGATTTGAAAGTCAACACAATGAACAAAACAACGAAACATAACCTCACCGACGTTAGAAATAACAGAAATCCCCAGATTTTAACATTGTTGCCAGACATCCACAATTGTAAGTAACACTTTAACCAAGTGTTACATAGAAGTGCGCCGTGCAACAGACGACTAGATTTAAATGGACCTTAACTTTAAGTTGCACTCAGTTAAGGAACAGTTTTAAGTAAAAGTGGTGAGAACGGGCGTTATAATGACTGCACCCACGCCATTCTACCAAATTTAAATGACTTTTATTACTATTACTTCCTAGTTTTCGAAATTACTGTGAATAACAATAGGTTTGTTGCAATACACAGATCCGTGATAAGTTTGCCGATTCAGGTTAATACGCATGAGCGATTTGCAACTGATTTGGAACTGTTTGCAATTTGTTTGTGTGGAAACGGTTTTGTTTATGTTTACGTACCCGCTTAAAAAGTGTACATAACCTCAATTGAGAACCTATGCAAAAGCAATGGATGATCAATGATCATGGAAGGAGTGTGTACACATACCGCAACATTGGTGTTGATAAACTTGTATAAGTACCGAAACAAAATTGGAACATTGTCAATTCCGAACATGAAGAAAATGTGGAAAGTGATTTCCGACGAAATCAAGAATCTATTGGGTATGTTATTTACACCTGCGCAAGTAGAAAATAGATGGAGAGATCGATAGAAATAGAAAATATGTGGACAACAAAGTAAGGACAGGGAGAGGCAGGAAAAACTTTGAATAGGTATGCAAAAGAACTGGACGAGTTGAAAAGAAAACAAATATTCACCCAGAAATATTATTGTCTATAGAAACCGTTACCAAACATGTTGTTATAGATCACACAGAGGAAAATCCAGAAAACGTACCACTGTCAAACAATGCGGCCACAAATGTGGAAAGGGCTGATATGGAACATACACCGCTGCAAGCAAACGAAACACCTACTACTAAAAAATGGAATCGTCGACCATTCTCAAAGCATAATTATTTGGAAAGAATGCAGTGTGATAGAAAAGAATACTATAGCGAAAATTTAAAAATACAACTGGAAAAAATGCAAATTGAAAAAGAAAAATTGAATTTATTGACACAAACAAATTTGTTAATTAAAGAGTATTTAAAACTGTATTTAGAGAATAATATAAATTTACTATCAGATCTTAAGTACCTAACTAAAACATGGCATTTCGTCTATCAACATTTTCATCTTGAATTGCATTCTCATCATCTTGCAGATCTCTCAAAGTGGAGGTCAATGTCAACAACGGGAGTATTTCCTCAACTGTGTCCTCTAGAGCAATATTGTGTAATACACAGCATGCACGTTACGTAATAATAGTTAGCCGCTACCTCCTAAAATATAGTAAACTCCGCCTCTTGATGCTAAAGTTTGGGTCAGTAGCGACACCCTAACAACTCTGCTATCTTGGACTGAGCCAGGATAACCTACAAATACATCTCTGATCCAAGATTGTTTTGAAATAAAATAACTTTGTCTCTGATCTTCCTGTTATAGTCACAGACCACTTGTAACTAAAAAGATTGCAAACAATTTCTTTTTTATTATACTTGAATTACAATCTCCGTTTTAAACACTCAAATGCGTGCGAAAAAAGGCCTTTAGAACACACGCGCTTTAAAGTTGCTAAGATTGATACTTCAAGTAAGTACCTAATCGCCGTTTTACCAGACTCATATGAGTCTGGTAAATGGTATTTTACCAAGACTGAAAACTTTTACCAGACTGGAACTGACATCCATCTAAACGTAGGTATACATATATTCATGTGTCAAACTACTGTCAGATCAAACAAATAAACTTTATGACCGTTATAATTAATATTAATAGTGCAATTCACATTTTCTTGTAGATGAATTACTGGCATTGTTAGTTGAGAAGTACTCTCAATGCTCTTCATCACTTCTTTCCCATTGCTTTGTAGTACTTCTACAAAAGATTTTCCTCCTCATTCGGGCAATATTCTCTTTTTCATTTGCAGAATCTTGCACATAACGTTCTGCTACCGTTGAGCTCCTCCATCCTCCATGCCGCTTAAGGACAATGACATTAGCACCGGCGTTTGCGAGAAATGTAGCGGAAGTCCGACGGTAATAATGTCCAGTGAATTCCTTAGCCTCATTTTCCGCGTATCCAATAAATTTTGCAGTCACTTGCACAATTTCAGTAAATTTGTGAATTCCAATTCGTTTATCAATGCATTTTTGATTGCGATAAGACAAAAAACGAGGAGTTTCATACTGTCGGCATATTTCCAAGTAATTTACTCCGTCATCTTCACTGATGGCAGAGAAAGTACGCCTCTTATTTGTTTTTTCGTTTTCCTGTGGTATGGTCGCAACCAATTGTGTGCCTGTATCTTTTACATGTTGGAATAACATTTTGTGCATTTCATCACATCGACAAGCACCTGTTATACCTTTAATAACAACAACCTTCATTAGAAAGTATTGACTGATAGGTGCCTCTTTCAAAAACTTCTGAATTTCAGCCTGCGTAAAAACCTTAGACCGAATTGGCTCATATCGGGAACATGTTTGTTTTAAAAAGGCACACACTTTAGAAAAAGCGGATATGTCAATGTTTTCGTTCACCAACAGCATCTTCTTAATCATGGAATATTTTCATTGTATTTCCTATTTTTAAATTAAACTGCAGATAACGGGTGAACAAAAATGAGCTGCTGTCGAGTCGCCTTTGGAAGTTCAAGTTAAGTACGATTTCCCATGTAAACAAAAATTCCAAAGGTGACTCGACAGCAACTGATTTTTGATCGCATAGTATAATAAAAAATACTATAAGAAAAACGTGTATAATTGATCATTAAAGCACTTGCTACGTTAAAGGCACTCCGCTTCGCGTCGTGCCATTAAACGCGTTGCGCATGCTTTAAAGACTTGATTATACACTTGTATCTTAATATATCTACTATTTTTCGTAAATAGTAACGGTGAGTTGCTGTCGAGTCGCCTTTGGAAGTTGAAGTGAAGTACGAATTCCCATGTAAACAAACAATCCAAAGGTGACTCGACAGCAAGTCATATTTGATCGCATTGTATGTTAAACTCACTTGTATGGAATAATAATATCCCTTTCTATTAATGTACGACTCTGGATTGATCGCTGGTTTATCAATTTTTCAATAACGGCAATCACCCCTGGGAATCCATTTTGATGGAAATGATGTTCAATTACCTGCTTCTCCTCTTGTGCACGCCATGTAATAATATTTGGGGACAGATCACTTAAATAATAAAAGGTTAGACGCTTCATAATTCTAAACAATAAACTAATCGATTTAAATCGGTCAGCCACATCTCGAAAGGAAGTAGTTTGGTGGCCGATGAAGCAGAGAAAGATATAAGTTTGTTGTAAAGCCGTTCGTTTCGGGTCCGTGAAGTTAGCAAAACATTGAAGGCACAAATGTCGAGACTAGCTGGGTTGGTTGTGCTTCGTTTGTGCCGGTTTGTGCCGTAAAAAGTTTGCCAGCAAAACGTACCGATTGGAAATTATTTCGATTTTTAGATGTGCTGCTAACTTCGCACACTTTTGTCGGCACAAATCTCGGGACTGGGTGGATTGGTTAGTGTTTCGTTTGTGCCGTACAAAGTTTGCCAGCAAAACATACGGTTTCGAAATTATTTCGATTTTTAGAGGTTCTGCTAAGAGGCCAGTCATTGAGGATTTTTACCTGGAAATAACTCGGGAAGTACAGAAATTTTGTATGCTTGAGTGCGTAGAACTAAAATTCATAAAATGCACAATTCTAAACTTGCCGCCATCTTGCTTAGATGGCCGTCAAAGGCGGTTTTCCGCCGATATCTCCAAAACTGCGCATTTTACGAGAAAATATGTGGTGAGCAAAATTAAAGAAACGAAAATTTCCTACAAAAAATGTAGTTAGCATATTTTCACTAAAGTTAGCCCTTACGCAGAAATTCAGAAATTTTTAATAACCTGTGGCGTATATTTTATCCAAATAATTCATTAATCATTTAATTAATTAATCAAATTGATTAATCAATTAGTCTATGATCAATTAATTTTAAGATTTTATTTTAGTCGTCGCAATCCTCTATGGTGATAGACATGTCAATTTTTAAATTTTAAATCAATCAGTTATATTGTTATATTCAATTCCTTTTAGCCAGCATTATGGACTTTATTTGTTTGGTATGTGTTTATTTCACAAACTCAATCGATGTTGATGGAATTGTTTCTGTCCCTGACACTATATCTGTGGTCGATTCTCTATTTGATTGGGCAGATGGATTTCTGTGCGCCCTTCCTGAGGTTTGTCAGTAGTGAGAGAAGGTGCAAACATACAATCTTCAAAAATTTCAGGATTTCAAGCGTTTCCAATTTGTAAATTAATTGGTGCTTCTGTAAATAATTATTTAACAGCTGTGCTTAAAACCTACTTTCGAGAGGCTTCTAATAATCAAGATTTACACAGCAATCTCAAAAAAATTTTAGCCGAAAAATTTTTTTTATTGTTTACAATTTCCCCTCGACGTTTACATATACCCCAGGTACACCGGGGTAATTGGAAACAAGTTGCAGTAGATACCTTCACTATGAAGAACAATTTATGAGGGAAAATGTAAACATCGTGTAAAAGCATCTTAATCAAATGGTGCAACGTATTTTACATGTATGTTTACAATTACCCCAAATTCAAGTAGTACTTTAATTAAAAAAGCTAAAAAGACGTTTATTGTCATCCTTACTGCTACGTCTTTTCTCGGCTTCTTATTTTTCGCAGGGGCCTTTTCTTTCCGCGTCTTTCCTCGTTTTGCTTCTGCATCTTTGATTTTCTCAATAACATCTGTCGCAGTTAAAACCTCGCCATATTGCATTTGTTTTAATCGTGGTATAGGTTTTTTAACATTATCAGGGAGTGGCTGTGTAGACTGTGCTTTTTGATCTACCAACGCTTTTGTAAAAATTTCAATTACAGTTCTGGAATCTTCTGTTGAGTTCTTCGT